GGATCTCCAGATATTCCCCTTCGGAGACAAGACATTAGTCGGAGAGAAAGGGGTCTCACTATCGGGTGGACAGAAGGCTAGGATCACTTTGGCCCGGTATGGCATTCACGGCACCGGTAGTCTATACAACAGTCCTATTGACTAAAACAATGCATTCTTTGCAGAGCTTTGTATCGCAACTCAGATATCGTACTAATGGACGACCCGTTGAGTGCTGTCGACACCTCTGTTGCCGAACATATATTTGATAAGTAATGCCATTAATAGGCACATGATATGAGACACACCTACCAGTCCTGTAACCTGCCTTTCCATCAGATGTATAGTGAAGTACTTATCGGACAAAATCCGAATTCTAGTCACACATCAAATCCAATTCATACGAAAAGCAACACAAATACTGGTCTTAAGCTCAGAGGGCCGGTGCCTGGGGTTGGGCTCATACGACGAGCTCCAGTCCCAGGGAATCGACTTCATGGCTATACTGAAAGATATGGAACGGGAGGCCGAACACGACAAACAGGAACGGGAGCTTATGAGGCCGTTCTCCAAGAATAGTTACGATGCAAAACAGACCCCAACCCCTAATGCGACACTCCTGACGGAGTGGATCAACGACAGGGTCCGGAGGCACTCCCGGAGCACATCTGTGGCTCAGACCGAGAACTTCGATATATGGCTAACTAAATGGTAGGGAGTTTAAGCTTGTAAATTTGGATTATTCTATATTAGGTCAATATTAAATAAAAGCTAATTTATATTGTATATCTTTCATAATAAATATACTGTACTAGGTCAATGTGATTTATATTTTATATAAAGAATTTGATATTCTCATTATACTATACTGTACTATAATATATTGTATTTATGCAATAATTAATAATTGTATTTAGAAAAACAGTAACATAATTACTTAGTTACTTAGTTAGTTACTTACATATTTAGTTATAATAACGGTGGCCACTGTCAATGTTTATCTAATCATCCCGGGTATTTTCTTAATTATACTTATGGTGATTGTGAGGCATATACATGAAATCGGCCAGGGATATCAAACGTTTTGAGGGGATAAGTATGTGCTCATAGGGTAGTGATTATAATGTGGTTATAATTGTTTTAATTATCATTTTATAGCGAGAAGTCCAGTGTTTTCTCACGTGAGCACAACCCTCAATGGGTTGGACAGTGTGCGGGCCTATGGGGCGCAGGAGGCCTTTGAGCACCAGTACTATATCTACCAAAATGACCAATACTGCCACCTGGTTCCTATTTGTGTGTGCATCCCGAACCCTGAGTCTCATTACGGACTGTATATGTGTGGCATATTTAGTGGCCATAGCCGTCGTGATGATGGTATTCCCCGAACAGATTGGGAACGGCGGTAGTGCCGGACTGGCCCTCTCGACAGGTGTGCTATTAATATACATATGAAATGAGTTTAGTATTCAAATGTAAGACAAATGCTTACAATAAGTGTATATATTGTTAGCCCTAATGATGGGAGAGACTCAATGGGCAGTCAAACAGTCACTCAATTTGAAAGTCAGATGACTTCAGTCGAGCGTATCATTGAATACCAGAGACTACCACAGGAGGCGCCGTTAGACTCGGATGACACACACCGACCCCCACCTGACTGGCCATCGAAGGGTGAGATAGAGCTGAGGAATATGTTTCTGGTATACGAGGGCTCAACCAAACCGGTGCTGAAGAACCTGTGCTGTAGTGTGAAGAGTGGCGAGAAGATAGGTATAGTCGGACGTACCGGTGCCGGCAAGTCGTCCATCATATCAGCCCTGTTCCGGATGGTGGAGCCCACGGGTGAGGTGGTGGTGGACAGACATGTGTTTATTTAAGGCATTCTCTCTGCAAAAGGTTTTACCACAAGATCTATGGGAACAGCGAAACAGTGGTTCAGTGTTTGAATCCGTGTCACTGTCTGTCTCTCTATTTGTAGTACTTTTTGCGTCCCTTTTGGTGACATTTGTCTTATTGTGGAACAGTTTCACGTGTTCTGTGAATAACTCTTCATTAGTGTCCGATGTATTCAATGTTAGTCTTGTGTCCGCTTCAGAGGAATGTGTCTTCGAGTGGATATCCAACGACTCTTCACTGGAAAACCCTTTCCCGCAGTCTTTGTACTCACAGTTATAGACCACAAGAGATATAAATCCGTTTTTACCACTCAATTGATCCAATTGTGTATTACATGCCATAGACTTCAGTACAGCTAATGGGAGAATCAATTGAGAGGTTCTTTGCCTGTTTTTCAATGAATGGGTTTTTATCATCCATTTTCACCACTTGTTTAGTACTTCCCATAGATTTCAATACAACTAATGAAGAGTCAAATGAATGATTAGTTTTAGACAATGAAGAAGTTGTGACCATTTGTTGCGATATCTGTGGCAATGGTTTCCGACTCTGTATTTGTTTGGTATATATCTTCAATTGTCTGTCCAACTGATCCAACAAATCAAAAGTCTGTTTATTTTGATCACAAAAACAATTGGTTTTCAAATCCAATGAATATTTTCGCAAATTTTCTAACATTTCATTCAATTGTCTCTCAAATGATAACTCTTGTCCAACTGATCCAACAAATCAAAAGTCTGTTTATTTTGATCACAAAAACAATTGGTTTTCAAATCCAATGAATATTTTCGCAAATTTTCTAACATTTCATTCAATTGTCTCTCAAATGATAACTCATTTAAAAGTCTCTTATTTTCTTCACTCAACTCTTCCACC